GGATCGCAGCGGTACCCCACAGCGGGGAGGTCCTGGCGACAGGCTCCTTCAGGGCTGGACCTGAACGGCTTTTCTCGTTTTGTGTTCGTGTTGCTCTTCGTTTTTCTCCACATGTTTTCCTGTGCCTCCCTGCCAAAACGAAACATTAGACACAGCCAGAATCCAGCAGAACGGCGCTTAGGTCCAGCCCTGGGCGCCTTGCCTTAAGTCGGGCCTGTCCCCCATACAGGGGGATTTTCGACGAAAAATAAACCTGATACTGCCACGAACCCCGACCTTGGAGGACAAGTGGGCGTGACTTGCGAGGAAGGGAAAAACAAAGAAGAGGATGCCTATAGGGCGCATAATGCTGATTCCCGTGTTGTCCGTTTGACGCTGTGCCGCATTCAGGCGCACTACGTTGGTTCCCGTGCTGCCCGTCTGATGCTATACTACTTTGTGGGGCGTTTCCGACCCTCTTGGAGCCGTGTGGGGCAGTCTTCGGGCCATGGGGCGTCTCCGACCATCTTGGGACTTTCTTCAAAATAGAAAATACCCCCAAAATACTAAAAAAATGTCCAAAAATAGTCTGGGGATTATTTTTGGGGGTATTTGTTGCCCTTTCTCTGTTATTTGTTTTATTTTTCTTGTTTGGGGCATTTTTTATTTTTCGTCGAAAATCCCCCTGTAGGGGGACACGCCCGACTGAAGCCTTGCCCCACGCGAGCGGCCGATGCTGCCGGCCAGCCGGGGGCAGGGCGCTGCTCGCGCGAGGGGGGGCGGCCACGGAGCGTGCCCAGCGTGCGCTCCCGCCGCGGCAGTGGCCGTGCCCGCGAGAGCCGGGCGCGCTCCCCGGCCCTCGGCGCCTCGCTCGCTGCCGGCGTGGCAGCCGGCCTTCGGCGCACGCCTGTGAGCAGGTGCCGGCGGGCGTACAGTCGGGGCGTTGACCTGAGGAACGATAAATAAGGAACGAGGCCGCTTTTCCCCATAGAGAGTAAACTCAGATTTTCCATGGAACACCTCAGGAAAACCCAAGGAGCACTGTAAAGCAACTAAGGAACACGGAGCCCCTCCCCAACAAAAAGGGTTCCTTCTTCAGGGCCCCGACTGTAGTTGGCCGCTGCGCCGCTTGCGCGGCTACGCGGCTGGGCAGCACCCGCGCGCCTCGTCCAGCGGCCTGTGGCACTGGCCATCGCTCGGACGTATATTCCCTGTGCTGTTTTCGGTTTCGTGCGTGGGTTTTTCGCCAAATGATCAAGGATGCTCCTCGATCTCGCAGAAGGAAATACACATGTCCGAGTGATGCCAAGGGCAGAGTGGTTCTGTTTGCCAGCGCTTACCAGTCACGGCCGTTGACTGCTCCGCGTTGGCCCGGTGACTTCTGAGCGGCGCCGACGCGGCGCGTGCTGTCTGGGTGCTTACCGCGGCTGTTCGTAGCTGTCCCAATGTCGGCAGCACAGCGTGGCCATCGTGTCGAACCACCGCGACGCACGCCGGCTAGTCCGTCAAGAAACGCGGCTGGCGACGCAACATTGACCTCTGTCGCGGCACGCTGCCGTGCAGGCGCCTCGCAGCGCAGGCGGTGCTGAAGTGCCAAAGCCGAGCACTTGCACGTGGCACCTGTCGACCGCCTGGCTCGTCGTGCCTACCAGAGCTTCGCGACGAAAAGGTGGTCGGTGGCCGTCCCTCTCGCCCTCCCACTCGGGCGCAGGCGCGGGCCTCTACTCTCTTGGACCGAAGGCGAGGAGGGAGAGGAGGGTGAGGAGGGTGAGAGAGGGAGGGAGAAGGGAGGAGGGACGTGGTGGTGGTGCAAGAGGAGTTGGAGGCGGAGGAGGAGAATGAGGACGATGAGGAGGAGGAGGAGGAGGAGGAGGAGGACGACGACGAGGATAAGGAGGCGGAGGCGGAGGCGGAGGAGGAAGAGGAGGAAGAGGGGGAGGAAAACGAGGAGGACGAGGAGGCGGAGGCGGAGGAGGAGAAGGAGGAGGAGGAGTAGGAGGAGGAGGGGGAGGAGGAGGGGGAGGAGGAGGGGGAGGAGGGATGAGGGACGAGGAAGGAGGGAGGCGGGGCGCGAGGGAGGCGGGGAGGGGCGGGGAGGGAAGGGAGGGGCTTCGGAGGGCAAGCTTCTGAGCACTCCTTCTCGGGCCTCGGTGCACAGGCTCTGCCCCTGGAGCTCGGGTTAGGTCGGGCGCGCCCCCCTGCAGGCGGAGTTTGGGCGAGATTTAAAACATCAGGAAATACCCAACAAATAATCAAGCAAAGAATCAAAAAAAGGTCCCCAGACTATGTTTTGACTATTCTTGGCTACTCCCCCTGTAGGGGGGCGCGCCCGACTTACCGCTTGGGCCCTGCCGCGCCCTTCTGGGGAGTGTGGTGCGCCTGTGGCCTCCGCAACCCCGTGGCAGCAGGGCGGCGCAGGCAGGCGCGGAGAGAGAGAGAGAGAGACTTCAGCGCAGGGTGTCGGGGCACGGGTGGGCGGCGAGCGAAGGGGGGGGGGGAGGAAGTGAGAAGGAGAAGGCCTTCTCTCGGGCCGGGCGAAAGGGGGGGATCGCAAAGGGGGGGGTTGGGGATCAGCTCAGGTAGCTGATTCTCCCGGCGCTTCCCAGCGCCGGAGGCGGCTATGTATCGAGGAATGGGCCCCTCAGTGGGGCCGAAACCAGCTGCATGCAGCAAATTTCGTACCCCCCCCATTTCCCAATCCCCCCCTTTCGTCCGGCCCGATTCTCAGAAGGCGGCATGGCAGCAAGGCGGCGCAGAGGGGACCGCAACAAAAAAAACAGCAGAGCACAGCCTCATCACGAGCGCACCGACGGGCGAAGCGCTGAACACGCCCAGGGGAAGAATCGCACCAGGGCAGGGCCTTTGGTGAACGACCAGGGACGTGAGCGCCGACCCCTTGAGGAGGAGAGGGAGAGAGGCGGAGGAAGGAACACGGACCAGACAACGAAAGACACCACCCCACCTACGGCCGCACAGGGCTTAGCTCATACCAAGGGAGCTGGCGTGGGTGGTTGCGTGTTATACGCTACGGCGCCCGATGGGCCGTAGCGAAACATGGAGGGCCGTAGGTGGGGTGGTGTCGCTTGTTGAATGGCCGGGAACACGAGTGAAGAGGAACGGGCCTTGGTGTAGCGGCCTCCTGTCAGGCGGGCGAAGTTGTCGCAGGCCTGGGCGGAGCGAAACGGTAAGACGAAGACGAAGACGAAGACATGAACTCGAGGCACGGCCGCGCGGCTGGCAACGACTTCGCACGAGTGGTGCGACCGCGCTCCTACATCACCTGTGACTTACAATTCTGGCTGCGAAATGTGCGCGATCCTTCGTCAAACTCACGTCATCTTCGCCCTTGCACTCCTCCGTCATCCTTCCTCATCCGCTCCTCCCCTCTTGCTTCCCTTGCCCATATCCTTCCTGATCCTCCTGCTGCCTCCTCCTTCTCCTCCTCCTCCTCCTCCTCCTCCTCCTCCTCCTCCTCCTCCTCCTCCTCCTCCTCGTCCTCGTCCTCGTCCTCGTCCTCGTCCTCGTCCTCGTCCTCGTCCTCGTCTCTCCTCGTCCTCGTCCTCGTCCCGTCCTCCTCCTCCTCCTCCTCCTCCTCCTCCTCCTCCTCCTCCTCCTCCTCCTCCTCCTCCTCCTCCTCCCTCCTCGTTCTCCCCACCCCATTCCTCATCCCTCCCACCCCATCTCATGCCTCCGAGTCCCCCCCTTTCACATGCGCCACCCTCTCACCCACCCCCTACCCAGCGCTTCACCTCGGGAGTTTCCCACCACAGCGTGAACCCTTCAGGGTCTGGCCCTTTTCCCAGGGACCGCTGCTTGTCCTGAGCTGCTTTATCCACGGCTTCGGCCGCTTCGCCGAGACATCCGCGTGGTGACTGCTGTGCCTGCGCCAACGCTGCTCAGCGTCGATCCCACATTCGTCCACATCACGGCGACCAGAAACTTTCATGCGGGAGGGGCGCTGTCCTTGGCCCTGCACCCGAGAGAAAACACCCGAGGAACCTCTCCTTCCTGGAGACTGCTCCACTGCTGGGCGACAGGCTTGTTTCACGACGCTGCTGCAGCCGAACTGAGCATGGAACCCCAAGTGGTGCAGCTGAGTACAGCCGACTGAACATTCTGAGGGTATGAGTATCATTTAACCGATCCCCATCCCCACCGAAGCGGGCAGGGCCCCACTGGCCGATTTGCCCCCCTAGATGGGATGTAGGCTGTATACTTCGGGCTTCGAGGGGTGTATCCCCAACTGGGGGTGTAATTTGGTGGGGGTCTCGAAGGGGATGAGCATGGGAAGGGGATCGGTTCAACGAGACTGAACGGGACCCAGGTGGACGCGCAAAGCTCGGTAACCATGTCACCAGCACCACCAAAACCCGAACGAGGCTGCAGGCAGCCCGGCACAACTCCCTCACAGGATACCCGGCGCAACAAAGCCGACGGCGAGAAAGGAGCCCCCTTAGCTCGGTGCCGGGAGCACGTCCCGAAGGGTGTCAGCAGGGGAGGAGTGAGAGAGAGAGAGAGAGAGAGAGAGCGAGGCGAGAGAGAGAGAGAGAAAGAGAGAGGGAGAGCGAGAGACAGAGAAACAAAAAGAGAAATAGGGAATTGAAGAGAGAGAGAGAGAGAGAAAAAAAGAAAGAAATAAAAAAGAAAGAAAGAGACCAAAAGAGGGAGAGAGAGAGAGAGAGAAAGAGAGAAAGAGAACAAGAGAAAGAGGGAGTGCACAAACAGGAGACAGACAGGGAGTCAGAGAGCCCGTCTGGGCACGGGATGGGTTGGTCGGCGCCGCAACGCCTCAGATTAGTCCTCTCTCCACGGCAGCAGGAACGACGGGGAGGACGAGGACGACGACGAGGACGACGACAAAGACGACGACGCGGACGACGACGAGGACGACGACATGGACGACGACGCGGCCGACGACGACGACGACGACGAATGCGCGGGCCGCCGCGCGGCGCCCGCAGCAGCGGCGCGAAGGCCGAGAACACCTCGGCGTCGAGGTACGGCGCTCCGGGCGGGGGACCCTGCGCGGCGGGGGGCGCCGCCGGAGGCCCGGCCAGCGCCGCGCAGCTGCGGCGCTTCGCCGCCGCGGGAGCCGCGGGAGCCGCGGGAGGCGACGGCGGCAACGACGACGGCGGCACCGACGACCACGAAGACGACGGCGACGACGACGACGACGACGACGGCGATGGCGGCAACGACGACGACGACGAGGAGGACGTCGACGACGACATCGACAACGACGGCGGCGGCGGCGGCCGCCGCCGGACGGACGCACGCACGGGCGAGAAGAATCGTTTGTCTTGACTTCGCCATCGCAGCGGCGGACACCACGGGACACCACGGGACACCACGGGACACCGCTAGAGCCACCGCCGGACGGACGGACGGACGGGGGAGAATCATTTGTCTTGACTTCGCCCTGGCAGCGGCGGATTCATTCCTCTCGCGCGCCCACGCAGCTTCGCCTCGCCCGCACGCACGACACGAACGACACGAAACGATTTTCCGGTTGGGGGTATCCGTTGCACTGCGATCTCACCCCCCAAGCCTCCGACATTGCAATACAAAAAGTGGACCTGTGAAGTCCGGAAAGAGAGGGGGAGATCCCAGGCTGTCTGAGAAATGGGAATATATGTAGTATATAAAAGAAGCAAGGTACGTGCGGCGATTATGTGGTAAAACCGGTTGGGAATCAATATGTTGTAAAATGCGTGGTGCAACTTATGTTGCGTAAAATATGTTGCGCAATCTTGGATGTGCAGTGGTGCAATGTATGTGGTGCAATCGATGTGGTGTGCATACGATGTGGTGCAACGGACGTGGTGCAACCTGCGTGGTGCGATAGATGTTGCGCAATGTGGTGCGCTCTATACTCTGAAACTCACCTTGCAGAACTTGAACACGATAACTCCACTGCTCGCGCAATCACCCCACCGTTCCACCCGCAACTTGGTCTGGAGCCTCATGGGGCGGCGATTGCAATGGCGACTTGGCGCTGGCTGGCGCGCAAGCTCGCGCGCAAGCTCGCGCGCCAGCCTGCGCTAACGCGAGCAGCCGCGCACAAGCTCGCGCGCAGGACGGCCGGCTAGTCTGGCACGACGGGAGGAGGAGGAGGAGGAGGAGGAGGAGGAGGAGGAGGAGGAGAATGGAGGAGGAGGAGGAGGAGCAGGAGCAGGAGGAGGAGGAGGAGAAGGAGGAGCAGCTGCCACGGTGGCGCTGACCGATGAGAAACCCCCAGCACACATCACGAGCCGCGCGGGCGCGCGGGCACGCGCGGGCCCTCCGAAGCGGGCGGGGCACTCGGGCGGGCGCGGTCCCGTGGTCGCGCCGACGAAGGCGGAGACGATGCTCGTAGTCGCGATGGCGGCACCGATGGCAACAGTGACGACGGCAAGGGCGATGACGGTGCCGATGCTGGTCACGCCGACGACGATGATGATCTCCATGTGTCGCGGATGAAGGTTTTGGAGGATTCAGACATGCGCGCGCGGCCGACGCGCGCGAGTGGCCCACATGGTAGTATCCACATGGGATGATCTGACATCTGACAGGGATCGCCCCCCCACCACCCCAGCAAGCGTGGGCGTTCGAATGATTTCGACTTGCGCGCTCGAGAGGCCTGCGTTGTTCCCCAAACAGAGCTTGCCTCGGTAGGGGTCCTAGCGGATTCATTCCCCAATCAGAGCTTGCCTCTGTAGGGGTCCTAAAGGATTCATATGGTTAGGTTCGGTTTGCCGCCGATTTTAGCCGCACGCTCAGGTGCCCGGGGGTGCCCGGGTGCCCGTGTGCCTGGGTGCCAGGGTGCCAGGGTGCCCGTGTGCCTGGTTGCCTGTGTGCCCGGGTGCCTGGGTGCCCAGGTACCCAGGTGCCCGGGTGCCCAGTAGCTCTATATAGCCCTATAGCCCTATAGCCCTGTAGCCCTATAGCCCTAATAGCCCTATAGCCTTATAGCCGTATAGCCCTATAGCCCTATAGCCCTACAGCCTCACACCCCATAACCCTATAGCCCTCTAGCCCTATAGCCCTATAGCCATATTGCCACATCGCCCCATAGCCTTCTAGCCCCAATATCCTTATAGCCACATAGCCCTAAAGCCCTAAAAGATTATATGATTGTTGTTTTCTCCGGTATTCTGTGGTTAGGTTAGGTTTGCCGACGATGTTCACTGCACGTCCGGGTGCCTGGGTGCCCTGGGGTGCCCGGGGGTGAGGTTTGCCGCCGATTTTCGCTGCACGCCCGGGTGCCCGGGGGGTGCGGGGGGGGGCCCGGGGAGGCCCGGGGGCCCGGGGGCCGGGCGTGCCCGGGGGTGCCCTATAGGATAGCCCTATAGCCCCATAGCCCAATAGCCCTATAGCCCTACAACTCTATAGCCCTATAGCCCTATAGCTCAAGAGCCCTATAGCCCTATAGCTCCCTAGCCTATAACCCTGATTGGGGCTTTCCTCCTGTATCATATCTTTGACGAAAAATGAAAACCTATGGATGTCATGGGAATCGACCAGAACGCGCGCACAAACTGTTCCGAACATATGTGTCGAAATAGCTCATGTATGCTGATATGTCGCGGGAACCTCGATATTGCGATCCTTACGAATCCTAAAGTATTTGTAGGATTTCGCCATGCGCGCGCGACGACACGCGCGTGTGGACTTCGTCTTCCTTGCAGCAAGGGATTCTTGAAAGGTTGTTTTTGCACACAGGTGCGCCCGACAAACCACCCCGCTTGCCTGTGTCATGGCGATTATGCCACACAGCTGCGTCTGCGCGCTGGAAGACGAGCACCCGAACGCTTGCGCGTTCGCGCGCACCCCGACGGTGCGCAGTCGGCCCGTCTTATGCGGCCGTGCTGGCTAGTAGTGCCAGATCTGTAATTAAGCTTCTCGCGGGGCTGCTGGGCGTAGGCCACTTGCCGCTGTGCAGACTAGATCCTGTAAAAGACTGCTGTAGCAGCACACTCGGCGCTGCGCCATCAGAGCCCCCCCGCAAAGTCACACACACACACAGTTATTAAGTTATTCCCAAAAAAGTGCAGAATTTGACCCACGTGAGCCACCTTGACCTCGTCCAAGCGGTGATCATCGCAGGCCTCCTGCCACCCAGCAGGACCAGGTATCGCAGGCCGACGCGGTAGAAGTGCTGGGTGATTCGGTCGTGGAAGTGGTGGGCAAGTTACCCACGGTGTCCAGGTTGCAGTACCAGGACGTGGTGGACCCCAAGCACGTGTAGTCTGCCTGCCCAGCGGAGGCCTCGTAGATGACGCTCTGGATGGCAACCTGCGTGAAACTGTCCGCCCAGCCCACGGCGAAGATGCGCGGGGAGATCGGGTGGCCCTCCGCCACATCGTGGATGCTGGAGATGTCCAGGCACGCCGTTCTCTGGGCGCTGATGGTGCTGCTCCAGTCGGAGATGAAGTTCGCGTACGTGTCCCAGAGGTTGAACCGCATCGCGTAGCCGCCCACGTCGCGCACGCAGATCCTGGAGGCGTACACCGGCAGCAGACTCCAACGGCTCATGAGGGGCCCCCACCTGCCGTTCGGCTCCGGCGCCGCGCCGGCCGCCCCGAGGGCGCCGGCGCCCGAGGCCGAGCCGGAGCCGGGAGCGGCGCTGGTGGAGTTGGAGCCCGGCGTGCCCAGGCTGCCGACGGTGTCCAGGTTGCAGTACCAGGACGTGGTGGACCCCAGGCAGGTGTAGTGCGCGCGTCCCGCGCCGGGGCGGTACCGGACGCTCTGGATGGCAACCTGCACGAAGCTGTCCGCGAAGCCGTCCACGAAGATCCTCGGCGAGACCGGGTGGTCCTCCACGACGTCCCTGATCGCGTCGACCGCCATGCACGCCGTCTGCTGGGCACCGATCGTGCTGCTCCACCCCGAGATCCGGTTGCTGTGCGTGTCCCAGAGGTTGTACTTCATGGCGTAGCCCCCCACGCCGCGGACGCAGACCTCCGAGGCGTACACCGGGAGGCTGCTCCACCCGTCCATGTAGGGGCCCCACTTGCCGTTGGGCGCCCCGAGCCGGCGGGCTGCGCCGCCGTCTCCGGCGCTGCTGCCCGCGGCGCCCCGCAGGCTCGCGGGGCCCTCGCCGGCGGCCGCGCCGACGGCGAGGGCGAGCAGGCGGGCGCGTGCGGCGGGCATGGCTGGCGGGCGGCGGGACTCCGGGCGAAGGTCGGGCGAGAGCCTGGGCAGCCTGCGAGTCGCTGGAGCCAGACGAGTGCGCGCGCACAGTACTATTTGACGGGGTGAAGCGGGGGTTAAGGGAATCCCGTGGAAAAGTACGAAACCGTATGCAAAATGAGCGATGGGGCAGAGATCCGTGCTAGTAGTGCAATATATATATATATACACTAGTGTGGACCCGTGGATTAAATCCACGGAGTTGCGCGGATCGAAGTTTGGCTGCGAGTGCTGGGTTGTGCGACGCTGCCAGCTACTGCCGTAGATCCTGTGAAGCTTGTTCTGGTGCTGTTCCCCCACTGAGCGCCGCCAATGCACCGAAGCGGGGGCCGAAGTGTTCGAGCTTCGCAAGAGGCAAAAGTTCAAGAGACCAAGCCAGAGCAGCGTTGGAAGATATGCGTCGGGATCGCGGCGGACGCGGGAGCGGGTCGGGTCAAACGCGGCGCCGTCTCGGGCCGCGTCGGAAGCGTCGGAACGGCGTCGCGGCAAAATAGGGAGCGCAGACGGGCAGCGCCAGGGCCACGGGAGTGTAAAACATTGTTCTTTTGCGCCTGCGAAGGGCCTCTCGCCTCTCGTCCGCCCCTCTCTCTTGGAGGCAGTTTTGAAGCCTCTAGGGGGCCGTTTGGGAGCTCTATGGGGGCTCTTTTGGGCCTCTTGGGGGCTCCTCGGGGCCCTCTTGGGCCGTGTATGGCGCCTCTTGGGCCGTCTTGGGGCCGTCTTGGGCCACCTTGGGCGCCACTTGGGCCGTCTTGGGGCCATCTTGGGCTCTCTTGGGCCCCTTTTGGGCACCTCTTGGGGTCCTCTTGGGCCGTCTTGGGCGCCCCTTGGGCCGTCCTGGGGCCGTCTGAGC